ACTTAATTATAGGGTCTTCAAACATAATTAAAAGTTGTAAAATATAGGAGTCGGGGTACAACCGACAGCGTAATACTCTTTCACAGTCTAAAACATAAATAAGCATATTACATATTTGGAATATTTAGCCACACCACAACAATTTGGAAGGCTTGGAAGGATATATCCAAAATTGCAAGTCTCTAGTTACAATAGAGACGAAAATAATTGCGTTCTTTCGGGCGGACAGCAAGACGAACTTTGCAAACCAAATTAAATAATCTCTTTACTTTGCGAACGAGCTTAAACACAAGGACTTACATTTTTGATGACAATAGTGAATAAATAATTATTAATTAATTATATTTATATAATTTCGATTAAATAAATAATGTAATTTGATCACGTTGTGATGAATTTGTATAAATATGTAAATATCCCGAAATTTGAAATATTATGCAAACAATACTTTGGCACTAATAAAATAACTTTTAAATTCTATTTTGTCATTACGAACTGGATCGAAGTAAAAGATTGGGAATCGGAAGTTCTGTTATGTATCATAATTATTTATTTAAATGCACATTATGTGTATATTGTCAGCCAGATATATACATTGCATGACGCCAACGCCTTTGGGGACCGGGCAGAAGCAGTTGCGACAGGCCCCGACCAGACCCGAACAAACCAGTCCAATTGAACTCAATTGCTCGGCGACCCAGAGCAGAAGTTGACATAGTTTCACCTGTCGCCCGTTCCCAACCGTAGGTGGGCACTCGCAGCGCCTCGTTTGCCTATCCTTTGCATGTTTATTGTGCATTCGGCGGGGCGATAACCACGACGACAACAGCAACAGCAACAGCAACAACAACAACAACAACAACAATTGCTCGCTGTTGACAACGCATATCCATTTTGGGGCTGCATCTGGCGACAGCCATCCCCTGGTGCTGCTCCTCGCTTGTTTGGGCCAACCAAATAGCAACAAAAGTCTCCTGCGTCAGCTGAAGCCAGTAAAGTGGCCGAGTCCCCACCCAAGTCCGAGTCCGAGTCCGAGTTCAAGTCCTAGTTCGATTCCGAGTCCGAGTCCGAGTCCTGCAACCGCTCTTCTGCCCCACCGACAACTGCTTGTTTTTATGCTCGTTCACAAAGTGCAAAGGAGTATATCTGTTTTGTCCGTCCGTTTGGCCTAATTGAAGCTAGAGACTTGTAAGTTGGAACCTATATTCGTGTACAGATATGATATCTATCACTTGATGTAAGACAATGTGTTTAGATTTCTGCTCCACTCCACCAGGAAGTGGGTCACGTCAGTAACAAAATTCTGTATCTTCCACAGCTTGAGAGCTAGACTGACTAAATTTCGAATGAAGACTACTGATACTCTATTGAAAAATATTCCGTCCGCACTTCTCTTCATATAGCTGGTATCATTCTTTGAACTGTGAACGAGTATTAAGCAGTCGGTTGCATCCGACGGCAACATTCTTAGTTGTTGTACATGAATTTTCAACGTTCATATTTATGTGAGGTATTTGTTTGCTTAGCTGATGTGTCTCTGTGTCCAGTCCATGCCCGGGGGTCAGCTGGCTTCCTGGCCGTGCAAAGCGGATCCGTTGGGGTGGTTCGGTTTGTGTGTTAGGGGCTCTTATCGGCATTTTGCGGTTTTCTCTTTGTTGGTTTAGTGGAGCAGCCTGTTGAACTTTTCGCCTCAGTGCGGCCAAAGGACACACCCAATCCCAACGGTCGAGCTCGAGTGGAGTATTGTTTGCATTCCTTGCTTGTTAACAGTGGTCGTGGTCTGTTTGCATTATTAAATTGGTGGATAGTCAAATACTTTGCATTTCGCCCAACTTCTGCCTCTATATTTGTGTGTACATTGGACCATTTTGAGCTAATAGGGATAACATTTAACCAGCAACAGTTCTCTGTCGTAGGCGTGGCCAATTTGCAGGGACCAGAATGAACGTGGCCCGATCGAACTTTAAAGAAGAATACACATTTGAAACGTGGTGTCCCGAGTTTTAATACACATCTTTATACTTCGTGCATAGTTCCCGACTATAAGTTCTCTATACTAATGAATCGTACACACAAAATACGTTCTCTGCTTCAAATTTTAATAACAAAATGTTAATCAATATTCTCCCATACAGTACACCCTCTTTCTGTGAATTATTCAAATATATATTCGGAGGAATAATTTATTATTATACAATTCATTTTTATAAAATGGGAAATATATTATATTTAGACACTCAAGATGCATTTTATGTTTAAACATTTTATGAGTTTACTTAAAACATTTAAATATCGGAATTCTGCTGGATGTAGAATAGCGTCTACTAGTTAGGTAGAATGGGGGAAAGTATTTACCGATATTGAAGCTAAACTCACCAAATATGTAGGGAAACCGGCGTGAATTTCCTCCGGTTGCTCATAATAATAAAAAAAGGGGACTTTCTTAAAATAACAACGGGGAAATTAAGTTCAGTTCAGCAACATATTCGTAACACCTTAGCCAGCGCAACAACCACCAATGCCCACACATAGAGGGCGCTTCAAGTAGGCGTATAGTTGGTACATTTTCTCTTTTACTATTTACTACTACCAGTTAGCATATTCAACTGTTTGCAGCGCAAATGTGTGCAAATTATTATTAATTAATATACATAAAAACATAGGCATCAATGTTTTTTCTTTATTTCGTAATATTTTGGATATTTTGTTATTTAATGCTATATAATAAATCCCTTTTTCGTTGTGAGTAAAATTCGTAGTCATTTATCGAAGCCGGTACAACAACCATGTTGTCACATTCGTTAAAAATGAAGAATACTTATGTGAATCGGCTAAATTTCCCCTTATATATGATGTTTTGTTTTGCTTTCGAAGAATATGTTGATAAAATACTCATTAAAAAGTTTTTGTTTTTATTTATATTTATTCAGTGTTATTAACATTGTGAAGATAACAAGGTGTCGTAAGCAATACGACTATCCAATTCTAAATTTCGATCAAAATTCGAGTCGGTTTTTTAAACGAAAGTTTTTAATTCCGGCCAGTCCACAGACTTTCGTAAGTCAAGAAGTACATATATATCAAAAATCGCACCTCAATTAGCCAATTTATGAACATTTAATGTATTACAGGTTGGACTTGGAATGTCTGTGATCAATAAAGTCAGTTCTTCAAATGAAATACTTTTCTGAGCTTGTCGATTGGCATTCCAATTGCTCATTAAATTTAGACTAAATTTGTCCTCTTTCAATAAAACAATAACTTTTTTTTATCCAACATATATTGGCGTTTATTTATTAATTTTTTGTTGATTTGCTTGAATTTTATGACACTGAAACAGACAAATTTAGCTTCGCTTGCTTTAGATAAGTGTATATGTATGTGTTTGTGTGTTTTTGTGTTTGTGTGTGTGTAAGAGTATTGATTGGTGTTGGAGCCAAGATATTGACTCGGAGTAAAGTGGTTTTCCGGAGGACTTCCAGTGTTGGGCAGTGCTATTGACGGAGAGTGTGTGTGTGTGTGTCTGGTTGTGTTGGTAAGTAAATGTTGCTTGTCGATTCAATACATTCAATATTAATATATAGTTAATACATATATATGTTTTGTAATTTGTAATTAGTAATACACATATTTTAAGTATTCGTTTAGGTTTTCTAATGCCGCGCTTAAGGATTACGAGTTTTAATCTTTGGATATTTCTTCTCATATAGTATTATAGTATGTAATGTTATGTAATGTAATGCACGATTAATATTTGTTCGGCTAAGAAGGAGCGAGTGATTAGAATGCGTTTTAAACTGTTTGCCTTATGCCTAAATGTAATTTTCATTAAATTTTTTTTTATTTTTTAATTGCTTAGTATGCGTTTCCAAAAGTTGATGTGCGTTGAAGTTGAATGTTGTCCGTTTTGGGTTGTGGTTTTTTTTTGCATTTCTTTTGCTTTTTTATGGCTTAAATGCAATGGAATTTAATTTTGATTTACGCGTTTTAAGTTATGTTAAGTAGAAAATTATGTTATGTTTATGCATTAATTAATGCTAAATAATTCCAAAATAGGCTTAATGATTAGTTTGATTTTTGGTTAAGCAACACAAAAAGCAAGCCCTGCTTTATATATGCAGATGATCCAATATGCACGATAAATATATGAGAAATGCATGATATTTATTTGTTGAATATGTCTTAGCTTAGTTCATTTACGCAATCCCAAAATTGTATTTGCAAATGTCGAAAGTTTTTCATTTCTTTTTTATATTAGTTTTTATCGTTAAATATTTAGTCGATTAATTTTTGATTTTGATTCGCCGAAAATTGTTTTTTTAAGGTATTTAATTTCAATTGTTATTGAAAACCCAAGAGTTGGTTTTCGTTTTTTTTTTTTGTTGTCTGAATACGTTGCTCGCTATTTGAATTACTTGAAAATTTGTCAGTTGTTTTGTTTTCTTTCTCTTGTTTTTAGTTCGATTTTTAAACAGTTTGTATATCGTATATATATATTAATTAAATGCCCTTTCTCTAAACGCTATTTAATATTTGTAGTTCGTTTACCATCAAAATTTGTAGTACATTTATATATTTATATAAGTTTCCCATAATGTATAAGCAATATTATCTTTCACAACACTACATTCATATATAAAATCGGTATACCTAGGTAAGGATTATAAGTAGTTTACGTCGAGTGTGTGTAGAAAAAATATAAATAATAATAATTACTAAAAACGAATTGAATAAATGAAACACATTTTAAAATCTGACATTCTTGTAAATCGTGAGCTACCTCAAATGCTTCGCTATTTCTAAGTTTTGAGCAAATGTTGTTGTGTTCTGTTTAACTCTTGTGATAATCGTGTTTTTTAAGCATTTAGTTCTTTATTAATTTGCATAGTTCAGTCTTCGAGATTTCAAAGTAGCTTCAAAAGTTACAGAACTGTCCCCCAAAAAAAAAATCTGAAATTAATATGTGAAATAAATAAAATAAATAAAAGATCAAGTAGGAGTTTCAATTCAAATTTGATGTGTATTTAGCAAACAAATGTGTCGCAAAAACTTAAATAATAATAATAAAATCTTAAATAAATATTTGACAAAATTAGAAATTGAGGTGCGTGCACAATATCAATATCAGTTTGCCTTAAAGCTTGAAATGCGTTAAAAACTGACGTGCAGAAACGATCCGTAAGTAAATAAATAAAAGAGTGCGCTTGGGGGAGCTTTTGTATAATACAATTTAGAGCTTCTGACTAAGTGGAGTTTTTTTTTGTTTATAAATAAATGCTATTTGTGCATTGCATTGAACAAATCTTGTTCGCTTGAGTTATGCTTATATGGAAGCGCATTATAAAAGAAAAACACAAGGATTTGTAGTGTAAATTATAAAAAAAACACTAAACGTATGTGAGATAAAAAATAAGTATTAAATCGAGTACCAATAAAATATTGACTCATACACTGCTAAAAATTATGATCACAAAACTTCGCAAGTCAACAAAAAGCAAAACTCCAATGAATGTGCGCTGGGTTTCTTTTCGTCGAGTAAACAAAATAAATGTGAATACATTTATGCACATGTGCATAATAGGATTGGCAGACCTTCAAAAATTAAACAATATCTATCAGTTACAATATAATATTATGACTTTGACTTAGGCTACGCAATAAGTGCATGCTTTTGGCATAGATGGCAAAGACAATCAAAACCGAAAGAATCTTACAAGCTACACATTTATGTTTTTGGGCCGAGAACTTATCTGCTTCTCTCTCTCTCTGTTTCTATCGCCCTCTTGATATTTTGGTAGTTCTGCTTGACTTAAGACTAAGAAATACAATATTAAAAATTTACGTTATCTTTTGCAAACACACACAATTCAATTTATAATATATGTATTCTTTTTTTTTTATATTTCTTTTCGTTTCGTTTTAAGAGTTCTTGTTTAAATGCAAAAATTGATTTGCATTTGGTTTTTAGACAAACATTGTTTGGTATTTTCTGTATGTGTATATGTGTGTGTGTGTGTGTATGCATATAAGTATGCTCTTCGACTTTGTTTATAAATATTTGAAATAGTTAATAATTGTATATATATGTATGCGCTTTATGCGCTGCTTACTTCTGTGATGCAAATGCTTTTCAAATAAGACTGACTGCATATATATTTATATAAATATATATTTATATATTAATATATGTGTGAGTGTGTGTGTGTCATTCAACTCCCACGCACTTCATTGACTTGAAACACTAAGCTAAAATGCCACGCCCACTGCAAGCCGCTTACAAATTACACTGCCATAGTATCGTAGGCTGTGAATCCTGCGCCATTTGTTTGTTGGAGTTGGAGTTGTTTTGGGCCGGCTTCGTTTCTGTTGGGGGGATATTGGTTTAACAATTAAAAGATGACCAAAAAGTATATGCATATATATAGATATATATAAATATATATATATATTTGGGTTGATATTAATAATTATTATAGTGTTTTGCTGCTGTAGGCTTAAGTCTGCAACCAAAGCATTGCTTCATATTTACGCCTTATTATACCCTTGTAGAGGGTACGATCATTTTGTCAGGAAATGTTCAACACATTGCAGGACTATATATATATATATATATATATATATTCTTGATAAGTATGAACAATCGAGTCGATATATCTGTTTGTCTTTAAGCCATGTTTGCATGTTTGGGCATGTCGGGGGGATCGGACAACTATATTATAAAGCTATATAAATATATAGTAACGATCGTTCGAAAATAATGTTCTTGTATGAAAAACTTGTTTGGTTTTCGAGATAACAAACTTGGCATTTAGTAGCTTCAGCCTGCTCGCTATAAGAAAAAACTTATTAACATCGGACTACTTTACCACATAGCTCAATAGAAAGAGCTCAAAGAGAGTTGTCGTATATCTGAAACCCTATATTAAATTGGACGTCTTAACAATCGGCTTGGTGTCAGCCCAGGTGTCTACAAGGGTATTGCATCTTCGGCGTGCCGAAAACAGCTGTTCTTTATTTTGTTGTTGTGTGTGTTTTGGGCGTGTTTCGTATTGGTGCCTCGTGTGTTGCGTGTGGCAAGTCACAAGGCCAAGCGCCAAGCGCCAAGCTGCTGGGGACTGTTAGATCCCGTCTCGTAGCAGGTTGTACGAGTTGTTTGTGGCAATACTGTGTTTTGTTTACTTTGTTAAAGCCTGTTTATTGATTAATTAATATACGAGTATGCTATGTAATCGGAATTCGTATTTCAAATGATAAATGCTTTGGGTACTTTCGAAACACTCAACTGTGATTTGCTTTCAATCAACCGAAAAAACAAATCAAATATAATCGAATCGACAATAACTAATAGACAGAAAAAAGAAACAAAAGCGTTATCGATTAAGTTCGGCATGCACATTTAGTTAGAGGGCCTGTTTATATGTACAAGGGATTAACTGCGACCAGGACATGCAAAAGCGTCGACATTTAGTTACATAACTTAGTTTAGGTTAAAACTTACAACTGCCTGCGACTACGTAGTCAGTGTGTCATTAAATGTTATTTCATAATGAAAAAAATACAAAATACTCAGGGTTAGTAGCTGCATAAAGTACAAGTAGTAGTAGTTCTTCTTCTTCAAGCGAAAACTGCACAGAAAATATCCAATGTAATTTCAGTTTATCTACTTTTCTCTGAGTAGCCCAGTCTTGAAGGCAACTGAACAAGGGCTAAAGGCTCCATTTGATAACGCAGTCAGATCGAATATAATTACTCTACTATTTGGTAAATTTTCTGTGCAATTTAAGTTTGTAAACATACTTGTTCATGGGTTATACCAATATTGGGTATGCTTTCAATATGTTTCGATATACATATACTCGTTTCTTACCTCTCGATTAATTTACGCATCTCTTCGGTGGTGCGTTGATCTTTCGGTTGCGGTGATCTTTTTACAGCTGTACGTTTTTGGTTTTCATTATATCATTTATTTTATTTTAATTATTTGTTTTTGAAATCGACATAAAATTGTGTTTAAGAACCCCAAAAAAGTTTATGTGTGTGTGTGTTTATAGAATATCATAGTATGTAAAAGAAAATAGAAAGAAAACGCAAAATGAAAATTTAAATTAAACTTTTCTTATGGTTCATACGTAACGTGAAATCAAATCAAATGATCTCTATTGATCTGACGTGCAAAAAAAAATTATATAAAAAAACCTTAAATATTGAGGTCTAACTTATTATCTTAAATATCTAACTTATTGTTCTTAAGGACCATAAAACAGATTTCTAGTCGGACACATGCGATTTTCTAAACACATGAATTCAATGAAATGAGATTTTTTATGGAAATCAATTAAAACTAATCCTGAATCCGATATTAGATACAAAACATAAAACATTGAATGGTGCTGAAAAAGGAACCCAATAAATTTTGGGACGTGTGCCTTATGAAATGAAATGGAAGATATTTAATTGTGCATTAAAAATTCATATTTAAATAAATTAAAGAACCAAAACCAAAGTTAATACATATTTAACACAATAAAAACGAAAACAAAAACGAACAAAATTGTTTTGAAACTTGAGCAAAACACAGCATGAATATTCATAATGAAGAACATATTATCAACTATCGCTAAAAATGACTCATGGGTGACATGAACGGGGAATGAACGGGGATCACATTCCTGACATGAGATCATAAGACTATTGCGAAGAATGAGGTGAGTTGTGATCATGTTTTTCGTAGGGGAATTCAAATTCACTTTAAAAACTAAGTTAACTTCGATTGGCGATTTAATTTCACAACACTCACCCTCATTGGAGTCTTCTGATAGAGATTAATATTTGAATGTACAAACGAATTTTGAAAGGGAAATTAAGAACATGTCGAATTGTCGTGTTAAAAATGAATGCATTTTCAATTGAGCACAGCAAACATTGAAATATTTAGTTTTAAATTAGGATACGATTGAAGTGGGACTGGGGGCTGCTCTCGACTGATCTGCCGACACTTACCACCATAGTTTCCGCGTGGTCCATGATCGCGATCGCACTCGGCCTCTGAGATCTCGTTGCTCTCCTTGGAGTCGTTGAACGAGGAGTTGCTCATGTCATGGTTACGTGGTGGTGGTGGAGGTGGCTCAGGCGAGCCATTGCCTGGATTGCGTGCAGAGCCTGAAGAAATAGGGTCTAAATTTAGTCAATCGGTCGGATGAACTTTTCGATTCTCATTCTGGCATTTACCAATGCTACGACGTCCCATTGATCCGCGGGATCCGTAGTGATCGTAGGGCTGTCCATAGGGTCCACCATACTGAGAGCCGTACTGATCCTCCTCCGGTGCGCAGTTAGCGGGATCATCATATTCGGGTCCGGGTCCAGAGTACAAGCTGCCGCCCTGAGAGTTAACACGTGTGTAGCGGCGCTTTGGGATCCCGAACAAAGAAAAAAGAGGCAATTGGGACAATGAGGTACTCTTCTTGATATGCTTTCAATATACTCTTACGTATTGGTCCTCTTCGGCGCAGTTGGCTGGATCGTCGTACTCGGGTGCTGGGGTATAGATCGAGGACTGGCCGCCTTGGCTGTTCTTGCGTTGGTAGCGATTGGCACGGGGCATCGATTGGGATCCAGAGCGCGAGTGCACATGTCCGGGATGACCAGGTGGCAGCATGGTGCCGGCATGTCCGGGTACGGGCGTGTGTCCATTCTGATGCGGGAAGGTCTGGAAGTTCATGGCCTTGGTGGGATCCATTTCCTCGCGGAAGCCGAGCAGATGGAACGTAGCATAGGGGCAGATTTCATCTTCCATGCCTTGCGAGAAGAGACTTAGATTAGCAACAGTTCCACATGCTCTCCGGAGTGGATTGTTGTTTGGTGTCTTGGTATTTGTTTTAGTGTTTTAGTAGTTGAGTAGAGACAGACCTGCCAGACAGAATGGCTTGGCCCGATATGTTTTACTTACGGTTAGCAGCTCGATGCGACCGGGGTTAGACTACAATATGTTAGTGGTCTTTAAAGAATGAATCTTAACGAAAAATTTTAAATATAGGCTCGAGGTTTGGTGTTAGTAGTTGGGATGAATACGAAAATGAAAAGGTTGACAAAATCAAATGGGGGACCACTCCTACCTGGATGTCTATATTGGCACTCGGGAGCGCCATGGGCATGGCCATAGTGATTGCCAATGCCATGCATTGGTACTGGGGGTGCTTTCAGTTCCTCGTACAGGTTCGGGTTACGGCGCGGATCCCAAGTGGAGTGGTTCGAGCGCAAGCCACCGCGGCCTGAACCGGTTCGTGTTCGTGTTCGTGTATGGTGTCAAGTGTCGTTCGTGTTTGTGTGGTATTATTTTTTTATTCAATTTCCAATATTCATACAACATCAACGATGAGTCAACCGAAAAATAAAACAATTGAGGCAACAGCAACCGAAACGGAGGGGAGTCGGAGTAATGTCGGGGAGAAATTCAAATAATAAATAAATAAATAAGTAATTAAAACATTAAACAAAATCATGTTAAGATTTATCTAAATTCAGCACAACATTTAATAATACGAGTCTTCGTTCAGATCGGGAGGAGGGGGGTCTCCAAATTATAAGAAGCGACTTTAAGAAGCGACATTAAGAATTTCGTTCTGAGAAAGCGTTGCGGCGTGTTCTGTGTTATGTGCACGTGTCTATGTATGTGAGATGGGCGTGGCAACGCCCCGCGAGTGACCTAAGGTCTCTTGATGTTCATTGTGAATGCAAAAGCAACGCAAAATATGAAATACTCTGTTCTTTTCTTCTCAGTTTGAACAGTTTTTTTTAACATTTTGTACGCAAAGTAAATGGAAGACAAAAATAAGCCTCAGCCAATGCGCAGTGAGTGCCCCTAATAGCCTTTTGGGGGGCTGAGGGAGGGGCTCCGCTGGCATAGTCCTGGCATTAATAAATGTTGCATTGGAAATTTAGATGCTTACTTATGACTGTACCTCGCTTAATCCGGTCGCAGGTGTTGTAGTTGGAGCCGGGCACGGGTGGCAGCTTCCGGTTCGGTGGTGCGATATAGCCAAGCTCGTCACGGAGATCCGGGCGGCGTTTGTCCAGGGTGGCGCCGGGTCCCATTGTCTGATTGTAAACTACATCGTCTAGAATTAATATACGATATCGCGAACTCAATAGTGAAACACTGAAGATGCTTTTCCCTTTAATGCTGCTCAAAGAACAACTCGCATACTTTACTTCTGTTTTTCGAATCAATCAGCTTTGTTCCGTCACTCACAATATTTGGGATTTAATTAATTTATCTTTTGTTTTTGTTTTTTTGGTGCGGCATCTCAACACGCTAAAGTGCTAATTAGTAGCTCAAAAGTACAAGTTTACAATTGCATAAACGGAATTACGTGAGGTGTTTTTTTTTTTTTTTTGTCAAAATATACCAACTTGTTTGCGAGATATAAGAATTCATGATACAATGACATGAAATGAGAGATGATTTTAATTTTGAATTCAAATTTACTTTAGTTTACTTTACGTTACTTTACTTTAGCATTATATTCATTTGCGATTTCAAAAAGCATCTTAGTTTTAGTTTCTCTTAAAAAAGGGATTGAAAATGTGTAAAATGAACAACAACAAAAAGTGTCGATAGGAAGTTGTACAGTGAATAGGAAAGTTTGTCTGTTGTGAGAAGAAACTGTGAAAGTTGCTTACGTCATAACGTAAAACGCAAAACGTATTTACAACACTGGAGATTAATATTTATAGTATATATACATATGGGATATGTGTATGTTTATGGTGCGGATGCTATTTACTTGGCTTACAACATTATTTCTTGAATTTAATGCCAGAATAATTGAGGGATTAAAATCAATAAATCAATATCGCATAATATTTATACAAATGTCAATATTTTTTTCTAATAATTTTCCAATATCTGTTAATGGCGATGGAAAATTGATGGCAAATCTATGAGTATCATATGAGTATAACAGAGATATATGAATGTACTTATACACATAGAATACACTTTAAATATATATGTATATGAGTTATTTTGGGACACATGTATATTCAATATTTTCATAAAGTATTTTGTTGGTATATTTTTGGTATTTTTTGTGCGTGTATTCTTGAGTTCGTGTCAGCTGTAGTCTGAATAATATTTTATCAAGCTTCGAATATTGTATATATTGTATATCATGCTTTTAATGGCTTATTCTAAAATTAAACATTGACATTCCGAAATGTTTAAAAAGTTACCAGAATTTTTGCAGAGTGACGGCATTTGATATATGCGTAACCTGATCCTCGTGTTGACATTGTGCGTTCATTTCAAAACACAAAAAATTTCAAATTAAGAGTAAGGCGGAAAATGCGCAACAATGTTCAACACTTGAGACCCATAAAACAGAAATAAAATTTGTCGAAAATAATATGTAGAAAGTAGAGCACTTGCGCCCATGTGCACTGTGCATTGGGGGCACAGGCCAAACCTACAATATACATCCTTTTGGCCGCCCCGCATGTCATCTGTACGTCTTCGGGAGAGCGCCACGCAGACAACACAGATGCCAACGGCAACCACAACAACGGTGGCAATCAATGGCACCATAAAGTTCAGATCCAGCCACTCGGGCATCCAGGCGGGCAGGGGAATTCGGGCATGGACATTTCCATGGCCCGTGCCGTCGTCGAGGGGCGCAATAGTGCCTTTGGTTTTGTGTTATTTTGTAATTCCGATTCGGATTCGGATTCGGATTCGATTTACAAACCGTAATCGAGCATGCAATTCGTTTACCAGATACAACAACAGAGCAGGCAATTTCATAGCCAAGATATTTAAGATATTTGTTGATTGTTGTAAAAAGGAAAAGCATAAATATGTACAGATACAAAAAAAGGAAAAGCGAAGTGTGTTCGTTTTGCGTTAGCAGTATGTTGAAAGATAGAGAAAGATAGATGGAGAGGAACCGAAAAAAAAAGAAGAAATATGTAATTAGTTTGATATACTTATAGATACCTTTGTGGTGATTGCCTTTGCTACGCAGAATACAAATAACAATTATCGCTATGATTATGACGAGCAGAGCCGCCACGACCGGCACTACTAAATTTAGGTTCGATAGAATTATGCGGATTGTATCCTCGGCGCTTAATTCTGGTAAATCACGCGAGGGTGCGATTGTGCCTGCAACAACAACAACAACAACCAAAGTGTTTCACATGTAGACCCAGACAGGGAGAGAGACAGATAAATATATGTATATATGCATGTATGTATATAAAGAGGGAGAGATAGGAGACAGAGAGAGAGAGAGACAGAGAGAGTGAGAGCGAGAGCAAGTGAGAAGGAAGGTTCAATAGTTTGCAAATTACAATTCGCGATCAATTCGTAAAAAGTTGCCGATCAAATCGCCAACAATTCGCGAACAAATCGCCAACAATTCGCTCGCTCTCTTTGTCCTTTCGCCTTCTTCTCGTTCATTGACTTTTGTACCCAGACACTAGTCGACTAGTCGAGCATAATTTTGTTAAAAACACACACTTATACAAATAGTACATTAACAATTAGAAAAAACGATTAGTAAACTTTGATTTGATTTGATTTGAGTTGAGTTCGCATAATCTTTGTAACGTGTTCGGAAATATTGTAGAAGTGTCGCAAATAGTTGAGAATGTAAATTAATTATACATTTAATTTATATTTAGAATTTATTTTACAATGCGCCGAACAGAACGCAATATAATGTTTGTGAATATTTATATGAAAACTATTTTAACTATTTTAGAATAAATTGTAATTACCATATATAAAAAAAATCAACATCTTTTTAATACGTTCAAATGCAATTTGTTTTTTATCTGTAATGTCTTACAACTAGTTAAGTAAATTGTTAATACTATAATCTCGAAACGCTAAAACGCTTTTAAGCAAGTTAACAAATTCATTTAACGGCATTCCAAGTGTAGCTGCTTTCGATAGTATGATTAGGAGATTACGATAACGAGAACGTGAACGAAAGATGGCCCTGTGCCACTTCTGTTGAGGTAACTTCAAATAAAACTTGTAAACACTAACTAACTTAGGTGGAACTCAACTAGAACTTGATGACAGAACTGAATTGTAATCGAAATAAACATTTGTGTGTAATGAATGCACATATGTATGTTTTTTTTTGTTTTTATTTTTTTTTTTTTTTGATATATAAGCATATCGATGTGCATCTTCTCCTTTTCTTTTGGATCTCAGCTCTCATGTGAACCCTTGCTAACATATTGGATGATGGATCTTTGGTTGTTGTGCTTTCGGAAATGTGTGCGCTTTGGCTCTGCTCGGTCTCAAGTTGAGTTTCTTTGGCTTTTTTTCATTTGGTTCAAGCAGATTAAATGAGCATTTTGCTATTGTCAAAATCAAAACAAAAAAAAAAGGCACTTAAAAATATTCTAACTAAAAAAAATCAAACAAAAAAATAATCAAAAACCTTGTAAGGAATGCATGACTTAATAAAATTGCGTGAATTAATGTGATCAGTTGTGGAAAACTCTTTAAAGAATTGAATTCCAAAAGATGATGGATCCCATGTTGATGCAGTTGGGAACCACACATATACAAATTGATAGGATAAAAGATTTCTTTAATTTAGAATTAGTCCATCAAAATCCTTCCATATTTTGCTTTTGCTGCAGAGAGAATTTATTACTTAAGGATTTTGCAAATAACTAAGCAATTTACAATTCGGATTCGTATTCAAGCGACACTCTCGTGTCCTACTAGCAGCGAAAGGGAGCAACGGGGGTTACAACATCAATTGATCATATCAGACCAGGCAAGTACAGATTTGAATGCACCTTGACGCCTTGGTCTGTTTTGAAATGTACAAACAAAATAGATCTCCACAGACTGGACACATAAATGCAATTAACTAAATATGATGGACATGATATACAAGTGAATAACGAAATGAAGGAATCAAATAATTGACATAAGTAAATACTAAGTAACGTGGCACTACGATTGTCTAGAGGTCACAACGCAGAAAATAATCATAAAATAATTAATTAAATAATAATAAAATTCATGATTGTAATCAGTGAATGTGGCTGGTGAGATTTATGTTAAGCTATTTACTTTAAAGTTTGTTGCATTTGCATTTGCTGTTCTTGGGATTTGTACACATTAATGGTATTTTATATAAAAACGTAAAAAACAAATTGCATTTACGCAATAAAAACATCTTTTGTACATCGTTCAATGCCGTTGCGATTCAAATTTTGGCATATTATCGAAATTACAACTTATAAAGTCAACAATAACTAAACGATTTTTTTTACTATGTATGACAAGCTTGTGGTTGAAAACAAAAAATTAAAACAATATCTGCTAATCAAAACTAAAATAATTACTGTGCAATTTGCTCGGTAAAAATGAAATGAAAAAATTGAAATTTGCTCATTTTCAGTTTTTTTGTGAATTTGGTAAGAAAACATTTACAACTCAGGGAAAGTGTTTATGCCTAGATTGTTATTTGTATATGGACAATGCTGTCGGAGCGTGTCGTCTGGCTCTTCAAATGGAATCGCAGGCGACGCCCCAACAACATTATCAACAACGTAGTTTTCTATGTACAAAAGCAATGTGAAACATTTGAATTGGAAAACAGATCGTAAATACCTCCGGTTACGGTGAGAGTGGCAAAATCGTATTCGGCAACAGTGAAACCCGCTGAGTTGTGGGCAGTAATGCGCAGATTGTACCAGGTGGCGGGTTCCAGATCGAGTACCACGTAGTTGTTGTCGGGCTTAACATTATTTGAGATTTGGTTCCATTCCAGTTGATCGCTAGAAAAGCAAAGAGTTAGTCTCGTCCAACGAGCTAATGTGAGCTGTACTCAATGAGATACCGTTTCTTGCTCTCTACGACAAAGTGGGACATGGGGCAACCGCCATCCTTCCAGGCCTTGAAGTGCAGCGAAACCGAGTTGGATGACACCTCAATGAAACGTGGTTTCTCCGGCAGCTTGGGCTTCTGGCCCTTGGTGCGTGTGTTCAGAATGTCGGAGGCTTCGCCGGCGCCAATACTGAAAGAGACGGTTCCAGCAGAGTTAGAATAGAATTTCGTTAGTTTATTTTGTGCTCGGCTCACTTGTTGAAGCCTGTGGCGTAGACCTGATAGCGTGAGCCACATAGTAAATTTTCAATATTGTGCTTTTGGGATTCCACAGAGACCTCAGCTGTTTCCCACTCGCCGAATTCTGCAAATATGTAAGTCAGTAGCAGAACTTCCACTAATTATTGATCGTCTGTTCACATACCTGGCTTATAATGCAATGTGTAGCCGTGCAGGGGTGCTGTATCTCCCTCATGGGGCTTCAATCGGACGGTCAGGGCGTCGGTGGTGGTGGCAGAGAGCGTGACGTGTGGTGACTGAGGTGGTGCCAATACGATGAGCTTGTGGGTAATTGAGTCCTTTGCAATGGAGTTCTCGGCATGACAGGAATAGTCGCCGGCATCCTGGCGATTCACCGACTTAATCAATAGCGAACCATCGGGCAACAGGCGCATGCGATCGTTGGCACTGAAGTCAACGCCCTTAATCTTCCATGTGATCTCGGGCTGCGGGGCTCCTACGGCTAAGCAGGGCATTTTGGCGTCTTCCTTGAAGGTGGCAGTGAACGTGTCGTCGAAAGAGGCGATCTTGGCGGGCACCTGGTCGCTGGGCATGGCCACGATGCTCTTGGACTTCTGGCCCTCGCCAATGGTGGTGCTGGCAGTGACCCAGAATTCGTAGGGTTTGTTCTTCTCCAGTTCGGTTGCCTCGAAGCTCATTTGATAGTGTGGCACCTTCTGGGTCTTTGTTTCAGTCTCCGCACCTTCTGCCTTAGAGTAGACAGTGTATTGGGTGATAATGCCGTTGGGCTGTGCTGGTGGGCGCCAGGACACCAAAATGGCGGCATTACCCATCACCAGAGCCTTGACATCGGTGGGGGCTTCGGGAACTGTTTAACAGAGAGCAGGTTGCAATGAGGATTGAAAACTGAGATATGCTAGAAGTGAACCTACCATCAGGTTCGGTCTGGCAGTGAATGGGCACGCTGCGAACTCCATCGCCTCCGGCTGTGGTGGCCAGCACCTGCATGGTATAGTTTGTGTACTTCTTCAGGCCATGGAGAACAGTGTCGGAGGAGGCAGTCTTCTTGTAATGACGCTTGGTCTCATCTACGATGTGGATGTGTTGTCAATGGGATCGGACATTATATAGAGGGCACATTTCTACTTACCATACCACTCTTCGCTGGGGGCATACACAACCTTGTAGGTCTTGATCACACCGTTGGCCGACTCTAGAGGCGGGCTGACCCAGCTGACGCGAATGGTTTGCGAGGTCAGAGTCGTGCAGGCGGTGTCGCTGGGTGGCTGGCTGGGTGTGCCTTCGGCGGTGAACTGTTTTTCCTCATCGCTCAAAGGACCTGCGCCGATCTTATTAAAGGCCTGAATGACCACCGAGTACTGGGTGTAGACGCGCAGATTGTTCAGTTCCAGGTTGTGCTCTTTGCCCTCCTCGGTAATGAAATTAATGGTCTCAAAGATATAGGACGAGTTGGTATTAGATAGCTTGTAGCCGACATAGTAGCCGAGGATTTCGCCGTTCCAATCAGAACGTGGTGGTGGCTTCCACATGACGCGCAGCGTTGTCTGATTCACTGGATCCACTTTGATGTTCTGGGGCTTGCCCGACGGTGCCTCTTCGGCTGTGATAATGGTTACGGCCTCCGACGATTGCGAGGAGCCAATCTCATTCTCAGCCACGATGCGAATATTGTAGGTTGTGGCAGGGCTAAGTTTCTGTACTTGCGCTTCGGTTGTGTGTCCGGGGACCATGACGCGATCGATCTCATCCCAGGATGCTCGTGAGCGCTTGAACTCAATGATATACCGATTCAGTGGGGAGTTTCCGTCGTAGGGTTGGGCCCAGCTCAGTTGCACGGAGCGACCAGATTTGTCTAGAACCTTCAAGGCGTACGGCATTTCAGGCACTTCCTGCACAATCATATTTATGCTGGCATCGTCCGAGCCAAAAGCATTAGTGGCCACACAAGTGAACAGCGCGGAGTCAGAGCGTTCGGTGCGTTTAATAGACAAGCTGGACATGACGCCGGCTGAGAGGATTTCTTCGCGAATCGTATAGCGATTGTCGTTCTTGGGGTCCAGGCGCATGTTGTTCATGTTCCACAAAATGCCGATGGGCTTTTCACCCTTCGCCTCGCACTGCAACACGGCTGGCTCGCCCCTTCGAGCGGTCTGGTTGCGCAGCTTCTCCGTGAACTCTGGTGGCGCTTGGACACTGACCATAATTACGGCTGAGAGTCCCGAACCGATGCCGTTGATGGCCTCGCACAAGTAGTAGCCCTCGTTAGTCTTCTGTATGTTGTCAATGTGCAGTGTGCCCTCCTCGACGCGAATGTTGTCGCTCTTCTTCAGATCCTTGTACTCGCCGGGTGTATCGCCTGTGGAGCGTTAGAAAGAAGTTTTAATTATTATTATATTTTAGATTCAGTTTAGTTTTATTTTTTTTGTTTTTGCTTACCAACTGCTTTCTTCCATGTCACCTGGGGCTTGGGGAAACCGTCAGCTTTGCACTCAACCTTGGCATCGGAGCCCTGAGCGAAGGCTTTGTCTGTTGGCTCAAGTATCCATCTGGGTGGCACTGTTGTTGTTGTTGTTGTTGATGATGTGTAGGGTACAGAAATAGAATATATTAGAAAGTTTGTTGCGGGTGCTTTCCTAAAATATAACAATTAGCATGCGGCGTATGGGATTAATATTTTGACAGTCGGATGGACGGACTTTGTTTTGTACAAACTGAAATGATTTGATTATTTCAAGTATTTTTTAGAATATTTTATTCATTTCAATTTGTTGCAACTTAGTGGAAACATTTGTATAACAATCGCAAGTAATTTAAAAAATTTCACATATTTCACGATATGTTTTTAATTGAATAATGATAGTTTTAAGCGTTATTATAGAACTGTTTCGACTATTGACTTAAACTTTAGTTAAACTCATAAGCCAAACTACAACCAAAGATATTAGCACAATTAATTAACCAAATTGTTAAAGGACAACTGAAAGGGGGTTTTTAATAAAACAATAATTAGTAACAAACTAAAAGATAAACAACATGCAATTTGTGCAAAACGAAGCGCTGTTTGTGATTGTCTTTAAAACGATTTTCGATTCTTTTGTAAATTTATTCTGCAAACAGACTTCGTTTTGTGACTTAAACACTAAGTAAATCATAGACTACAATAAAAATGAAAGTAATTAAAGTCAAGGATGAGAGGATTTGGGTTGGACTGATGTGGTGTGGGGATGGTTATGGTTATGGCGGGAACGTAGCAAGGACTTGTGTTTCACTGGAGCGTACAAATGTATCTTTAACTGTTATTTGAAGCGAACAGATTCAGACTGCACAGTGGGCTGATATTGTTATTAATATTATTATTAAGTAGACAATTAGAAGCGATAAATATGCGAGTTGTTATTGTTGTTGGCAGTTTATTCGGTGTTGGAGCATGAGCCTGTTCAAATCGTAATGTACAAAACGGAATTGAAAATAAAAACATATTCAATATATATGTGTCTATATATTGTACAGAAAGCTCAAGCAAGTATCAAGCTGTGAGTCTTTTAAAAAATCTGCTTGAACAGTGCGTATACGTTTTTGTGCGTGGTATGCATGTGTGTGCGTGTGTGTGTGTGTGTGTGCTGCTGGTTATAGTGTATTTGAATCTGAGCTGTTTTGCCATATAAGAGCTTATTCGGATGCGTAAAGATTAGGTCGGAACTAACATTGCGTCTGCATGGCATTCCGAGAGAGGGAGGATTTTGTTGTTGCGTGGTTTTTTATAAGTACTTATATACAGTGTCTAATTGGATGGTAAAACTTTGTTGGTAGACCTCAATCGAACTCGTTTAAATAGTCTTTGGCCCACAGAGCAAAAAATGGAAAAAGTCGAAACTCGAGAAAATCTTGATTAGCTGAAGGGAAATTGAAAATCGTTGATTTGTTCGCCAAATTTTTGATTCCACTTTACCATTGACAGTCAGCATGGCCTGTCGCTGTGCCACGCCCACATGATTGCTGGCCGAGCAGCTGTAGTTGCCGGCATGGTGGGCCTGCGCCTTGTTGATCAACAACAGGCTCGAGTGCTCACCCACCGTCGCCTGGGTGGCGTCCGCGTCGTCATCGTCGTCGTGCAATGGCCTCCCGTTGAGCCGCCACTCAAAACGAATGGGCGTGGCACCTCTGCTGGCAATGCACGTGAGCTGCACATAGTCGTTGACATCACAAACGGACGTGGAAAGCGACAGGGCGGCCAGCAGAGGCGGCTCTAAAGAAGCGTCGCGGAAAGGCAGTGCAAGGCAATAAAAGTGTTACTAAGTTTGACAGCCCATCAATTACCAAACGTGATCAAGTCTATAATGAATGTCGACAGCGCATTCCCAAAGATTCTAGGAATTGTCAAGTTCGCTGCCTAAGTCTTTTGTTTTATAAGATATGCTTTCCATATTGAATTAGTCAGAGATAATTTGTTGTTTGGGTGAGCTAAGTGTCGGTAGACTGAGCACGAAGTTTTGGGATCGAGCTCCCACGAAGCCAGAAAATCAAAAACAAAGTTGAGTTAACGCGTTTGGAGACTGTCTTTAGTTTTATGACACAAATTTTAAAGAAAGAAAAACTATTTACAAAAACTATAGACCTTTAAATGAAATTATTATGAAGAACGGAATGTACCCTTCACTTTCAGTAGAGACCAGCGACTGGCGAGACCCGCCTTATTGCTGGCCACGCACGTGTAGTTGCCCGAGTCGCTAATGGCCGTCTGGCGCAGAGACAGGATGAGCGTATACTCATCGATCTTGTGATATATGGAGCGCAGCAGGGGCTGTCCGTCTTTCAGCCAGAAAATGTCGATGGGCAGATCTCCCGATGTGACCATGCACATGACACGCACCGCTTGGCCGCCGTTGACGCCGTTGGCATTAAAATGGAACTGTTCAATTTGGGGCAGTTCTAAGCGGTTGAGGGGGGGGTGGGACACACAAAAGCCGTGCATGAGTAAGTGTTAACATATAATACAAGTTGTGCTTATGCAAACCGACACCAGGGCAAACACAGAGAAACACATATGAGAGAGAGAGAGAGAGAGCGCGTGGGCATATTATACAGTTGCTGCTTTATCTAGGAGCTACAACTACCAGGCCAAGTCATAATGCTGTACAGGAAACAAACCCTTGACACTGAGTCTCGTCTCGACGATCGTGTAGCCGGCCCCATTGGCACCCATGCATGTGTAATTGCCCGCGTGGCCGCCCTGCACGCTCTCAATATTCAGAGAGCTGCTGCGCCGGCCGTGCATCAGAATGCTGACGCCCGGCAGCTGCCCAGCCGGCTGCCCATTGTAGTACCAGGTTATGTTGAAGGGGGCATCTCCGTGCACCACGGCGCAAGTCACCTGATAGTAGTCGCCCACATAAAGCGGCGAATTGTTTGGAAGTGGCGCCAGCTTTGGTGGCACTTTGGAGCAAAATTAAAAAAAATAATAATAAAATGAACTTTAAGATGGAACAATCTAAACAAATATCCTTTCCCTCGAATCAGGTTAAGCTAGAGTAAGTGCGTGAGTTTCGAATCGGTCCGACGGGAAGTTCTGTAGATCCGTAGATCCTGCTTTCAGTCAAATCTAAACCTATCAGCCTAATGAAGTCCTACATGGTGCTGAAGAAGGTGCAATAATTTTTGTTGTACATGCAGTCCTTGTGGTGCGACTAGACACAGAGTGAGACAGAGATATAGAGCGAAAAAGAGACAGAGACATGCAGCCGAAATATGGTAGACGCATTGGGTTAGTAGCAACAAACTACGGCGGACAGGTTAATGGCTCATATGGAAATTTCTTTTATTCTAGGATACGCATCCTAACCATAGACATTGAGCAGCGTCGTGAAGCGCTGATGCCCAGCCAAATTGTTGGCGTGGCACGTGAAATTGCCAGCGTGTGGCGCCTCAACGGCCTCAATGGTCAACACGCTGCTGCGGCTGCCAACGCTGGAGGTGCTGATGCCCAGCTGCTCGCCGATCGATTGGCCATTCAGCGTCCATTCGATTTGCATGGGCAGATCGCCCACGGGCACTGAACAGTGCAGCGTTAGGTACTGGCCCACCTGGGCGGGGCCCTCCTCGAAGGCGAAGGGAATGATGCGCGGCACAACTGAACGTGTTTGGATGGGAAATAACCGAAATAATACAGTGTGCAAAATAAAAAAAATATTCTACGTAATTAAATTAGGTATTTAGCATAGACTTTTCGCGGCACCTATGACCTTCAGCTGGGTGCTGTAGGAGGCTTTGCCAGCGGCATTTTCGCCATGGCAACTGTAGTTTCCGGCATGCTTTGCCGCCACGCTCTCGATGGTCAGAACGCTGCTGCGCCTGCCCATTTTGGCTATGAGTATGTCCTGATCGTCGTCATTAAAGAGCGGCTGCTTGTTAAACGTCCAACGTATGTTCAGGGGCAAATCGCCCTCGGTGAGGGTGCATTGGTAGGTTATATACTGGCCCAGATGCGTGGGCTGAGCGCTCGTGGCAAAGGGCGTTATTTGGGGTAATACTTTTTGGGTATGAGCACAACAGAAAATACAAGAAAAACACAAAAGATAACGTAAATATATATAGGCTCTACTATATGAAAACTAAAACTACAGCAAATCTATGGCCAACCATTCACAATTAGGGCCGCCGTATACTCCACGGTCTGGGCGCTGTTGCGGGCCCGGCACGTATAGTTGCCGGCATTGTTGCCATTCACGGAGTCGATGGTCAGAACGTTGACCTTTTTGCCTATTTTCGAGCTGGTCACGCCATGGTACTCGTTGATGGCATAGTCATTGAATAGCCAGTATATATCCACGGGCAGATCACCTTTGGATATGGTGCATTGCACGGTCACCGAGTCGCCAAAATTCGCTGGCTCGTCCCCAAACTCAAAGGGTGTTATATGTGGCGGCACTTGATCAAAGTGGAGATGGGAAATAAGGTGTAAGATGTGGTAGGCTAGGTTCGTAAGGTTCGTAAGGTTCGTAAAGTTCGTTGTACCCTCAAGTTCGCTGCCTAAGTCATTTGATATATATTTATACTCGTAATACTTGATTCAAGCCAAAACAAGAAGCCAGCACGTCAACTAACTAAAGCCAAAGCAATCATGCATTTTCTGTGTTTATTTGTGTGACTTACAATTTCGATGGTGTAAATTATAAAAGAAATACATGAGAAAATAAAACCAATAAAAAAAAAAACCGAAATTTACATTCAGGTGCTGTACAAATCTCGCTGTACCATTGACAAAGAGCTGGGCTGTGTAGACCGACGAGGCCCACAGATTTCTAGCCTTGCACGTGTAGTTGCCGACGTGACGTGCATTGACCGCATCGATCATGAGGACACTGAGGCGCTTGCCCATTTTGGAAGTCGAAATGCCCGAATAATGATTGATGGGATAATCATTGAAGAGCCACTCGATGTCTAGCGGCAAATCGCCCGAGCTAACCAGACAATTCACGGAAACGGAATCCTCGAAATTGACGGGCGCTTCGCCAAAATCAAAATGCGCTATTTTGGGTGCAACTAATGAAGAATTCAAA